AAAATGAACTAAATTCATCTTCAAATAATGTAAATTATTAAGATGAGGCTGGGCGCGGTGGCTCATGCCTGTAATCCCAGCACTTTGGGAGGCCGAGGTGGGTGGATCACGAGGTCAAGAGATCAAGACCATCCTGGTCAACATGGTTAAATCCCGTCTCTACTAAAAATACAAAAATTAGCTGGGCATGGTGGTGCATGCCTGTAGTCCCAGCTTCTTGGGAGACTGAGGTGGGAGAATTGCTTGAACCCAGGAGGCGGAGGTTGCAGTGAGCCGAGATCGCCATTGCACTCCAGCCTGGGTAACAAGAGCCAAACTGCATCTCAAAAAAAAAAAATTATTAAGATGACTATCTCCAATTATTTATTTAGTAAAAGAGGCTATATTGACAGGGAAGGACCTATCAAATATTTAGAAGGCAGAGTAGTTATTTTGTATTAGGAAGGATTATGATTTGTACATTGATTCAGAGAGTATTTACAAGTGTGCATTGTATGCAGAGCCTTGTAGCCACAGAATGTGCTTCTCTTCTCCCCCTCAAAGGAGGGTTTTGGTCTAGGTGATCTATAGCAATAGCAACATTCCCAACTCTCTCAGTGCAATTTCAGGTCACAAAACCCAGGCTCTTGATCCCTAGTCTGCTCATCTTAACACTGGAGCATTTGCTTCTTGGTTCCAAAGGAATAGAGAAATGATACCGAATGCAGAACTCATCTTGGAGGAACATGTTTTCTAGGAGAGAGAATTAAAATTACAAAAGAACAATTGTAAAGCAAATTGCAGTATGATACCTCTCAAATCATATAGTTAAGTGGAATAGAAACTTAGAGGCAAGCATAGGGTGGTCAATGAAAGAATGGCTGAGGGCATTTGAGCTGACCAAACTTATGGGGACTCTACAGATTACAATGTGCTTTTTCTCTTTTTTAATTTTTCAGAATTTTGTTTTCACTTTTTGCATGTGGAATTGAGAAAAATATTTTTTCCAGCTTTATTTAGGTATATTGACCAGTATTTAGAGTGTGTGACTCCAGCTTCTATTAACCTTCCATGGTACTCCTAGAATACTGAATAAAATAGTGGGGGGCTGAGGCAAATAGGGTCTGTTTCAGGCTTGATTCCTAGGGAGCCACTTAACAGGAATCCTCTTATAAAAACGTAATGACTCTTGAGGAAAGTAGGCTTTGGAGCTGCTAGTATCTATCAAGTTATCAAGGATGGCTGAGATGCAGTTGGATTTGAAGGAAAAGACGATGCCTGATCCTCGAATCAAGATTTTACATTTTAGACAGGGCATGGTGGTGGGCTTCCTCTGCAAGCCTGTAGACTAGCTTTGGTTAGAGAAACCTTAAAGATTAGCTCCTTAAACTGTTCACAATCTGCAACCAAGAACAGAAATCTGGTTTTCTTTCCTTCCATAACTTCAGATTATATCATCTAAGCTGTAAATTAAACAGGGAGAGACATTTAGGATTATATTTTTACTGTCATCAGTTTCCTGACTCTGCCACAACTGTTCAAAACACACCTTAGTTTGTACTCTATTGACGTATGAAAGGACAGTATTCATTTGACATCTTTTTCATATTTACAGTTTCGTTTATACAGCAAGTAGAAGTACATGATATTTTGAGCCAAGAACAACCTTATATTAAAGTAATTCAGCAATGTTGAGTACTTTACCAATGAATATCAAACTTCAGTAAAAGATTTAAAATGAAGAAAGAGAAGAAACATGAAGGGCTCAATTTAAGAGTAACGTTTTAAGATTTTACATAATGAGACAGAGGTATTTTTCTTTGTAGAATTAGGTGCTCTTTTCTTGTAACTACAACTGGCAAATATTCTTTGATCTTCCTCCTTCTTTTTGAAAATTAAGTGATACAATTTGGAAAAAGAAAGTTGTGCTTGTATCTGTTCCTAACCAAAGGCCAGCAGTGGATATTGGTTAGGAACAGATCCACTAACCTGTTCATGTTACTGTATATCCCATATCCTGAGCCTAAATTCATTATTTACATGAACAAACTAGTTAGATATGAAATATTCCCTAATGGGTTTTTTAAATTGTGAGTTTGTTTGTTTGTTTGTTTGTTTTTTTAGACAAGTCTTGCTCTGTTGTCTGGGCTGGAGTACACTGGCATGATGGCATGATCACAGCTCACTGCAGCCTTAATCTCCCTGGCTTAAGCAATCCTCCCACTTCACTTCAGCCTCCTGAATAGCTGCAACCATTGGCATGCACGAACACACCTGGCTCATTTTTTATTTTTTGTAGAGATGGAATCTCAGTGTGTTGTCCTGGCTGGTCTCAAACTCCTGGGCTCACTGATCCTGTGATCCTCCCAACATGGCCTCCCAAAGTGCCTGTGACTTTTATATTCTACCTCAATTATTTGCCATTTATTTTGACTTATAGACAGGCATGAAATGTAAATTCAATGAAGAATTTGGAAAATGCCTTTATTTATATTATTGATATTTAAGTAGTGACTTGAAGAAAACATATTTGCTTCAAAATATATTGTTATCAAAGTCAGGGTTTTGTCCAGTAAAACTTACTGCATCTTTTAATATAGCACTGTCCAGTAGAACTTTCTGTGATGATTGCTGTGGTCTATAACCTGCTTTATCCAACACAGTAGCCACTAGCTACAGAGCACTTGAAATGTGTTCACTGTGACTGAAAAACTAAATTTTAAATTGCATTTAATTTAAATTAACTTAAATTTTAATTTAGCAACACGTGGCTGGTGACTGCCATATTGGACAATGCAGCAAGCAATACATTCACATGTTGTTTATCTCAGATATAAAGTTACTCACTATTTAGAAGCCAATATAGAGGTATGAGATTGCTTTTAAGGAACAGATAGAAGTCCCAATTGTCCATTAAAATAATTTTGTCAATCCAAGCAGACTTGGGGTGAAACATATGAAAACATTTTGATTGAATTGACTGCTAAGTTTTATTTGTTTTTTCCTTTATTTAGAAAATAGCCGTTAAGCACCTAGTAATTGCTCTGCATTGTGTGAAGTGCCTGGGATACAAGAAGTTTAAAGCATGTTCATTGCCTTGAAGAAATCCACTAGGTAGACAAGGTGGACAGAAAGTAGTAAGAAACATCCGTATAAGGCAGAACAGAGTTGAGAAAGAGGAAAGAGTCTAGGATGACTTGCAGATTTCAGTCTTGAGTGACTGGGTGGAGGGTGGCACTATTCATCAGTAGGAGACACTAGAGGTGGAACAGGAGTCTACATCATGTTGAATTGAGGTTAGATATCCACATGCATGTGCTGAAGGTAGTTGGATATGTGGGTCTACAGCTTGGGAAGAAGTCTTGAGGCAGAGCTGTGGGAGTCACCCATAGTTAAAGCCAAGGGATACGATATGGTCTGCAAGGCAGATAATATAAAGAAATAACAGAACTCCAAGAACAGCCCTGAAGAGGTACCAGCATTTATGATGTGGAAAAACATTCTATTATACTAAATTGGCTTATAAATTTAGTCAGAGATTGAAAAATTATTTTTAAAATATATAATAACATAGTATTTTTGTTTTAAAATAATATGCGGGCAAATTTACAAGTGACTCCAGTTATGTTTGTTTCATGACACTGAAAATCAAATCAGTAAGAAACATTTTATATATTTTATATTTAATTTTTAATTATTCATTGATAGTAACAATATAAAATATTTAATTAAATATTTAATGTATATTTAATTTTAATATATTTTATATATTTTAAGCATTCCATATTTAATATTTTAGAGTCTAATTATACACACAAATGACTGAGTTAACTCATTAACTAGTTGTTTTATGCTGTGTAAATCAATACTTCCTAAATATTACACATTTCGGATATTCAAAATGAATTTTCAAGCTCTTAATATTTTACTGTTAGATATAAATTATGTAAATAAATTGATTTTGTCCAGTTCCTGTGAAATATAGAATGGAAAAATTTCTGCCCATTGGATCAGAATTCACTTTTTGAAACCATGTGGAATAACCCAGTTTTTCTCTTAATTATGTGTCTTCTGAGTATGCTTTGAAAGTTTTATAGATATCATTTTGCCACTGTCTTGCTGCTCTGAGACCTTGTTCATTTTTATAATATTTATTATCAGATTTTAATTTCTCATTTTGTGGAGTAATAGGGGTTTTTCAAAAGAAAAACTTGTGAAAAAATACATTTCAATAACAGAATCTCAGCTATGAAATTTTTAAGGCTTGAAACACTGTTGTCAATATTAAAAATAAGATTCTCATTCATTCATATTTTCTCCCCCCATACTTAATTGGTGAAAAGTAAGCTAGTATTTAGACTCTAGTGTGCCATGAAGCTGCATCTCACCTTGGGCATCGAAATTCTAATTTTGATAGAAATGAATTGTTAATGAACCCCAAGAATAGAGAGTTTCTGTAATTATAGGAAACAAAATTAAATTGGGCCTAAAGGCATTTTTTGGTAATTGCAGTTGGTTTAAAAATTGAGAAAGAATATTCACTCACACACCTTGGCTTTTAAAAAAATCTTGCTTTGCTCCCCACTTTTAAAAAGAGGCATTGTAGGGGGGAAACGGGAGGGACAGCAGTGGGTGGGGAGTTGGGGAGAGATAGCATGGGGAGAAATGCCAGTTATAGGTGATGGGGAGGAAGGCAGCACATCATACTGCCATGTGTGTACCTATGCAACAATCTTGCATGTTCTTCACATGTACCCCAAAACCTAAAATGAAAAAAAAAAAAAGAGGCATTGAGACCTGCAGCAAACTTCATTCTAGTGAGGGTCCAGATGATTTTTTTTTTTTTTGTAGATGTGAAGAACAACTTTGTGGGAAAAATGATACCTCAAATATTGATAATGTTCTGTATTAGGGAAAATAAAACAAATTTTTTATTTGAACCTTTTTATTGTATGATAGAAAATTTTGATTTAAATGGCAAGTGAGATATGCTTACCATCTCTCTTTTTACCTATTTATAGTAGATCTCAAGGCCAAAGAGGACATACTAGCACAGAAGTTGTTTGTGCTGAACCTGCTGCTGCTGCTGCTGCTGCTACCTTAGACGTATGTACATTGAGGGCCATAGACTACAATCTTGGCCCTTTATGCATGTGATGTTGATTATTTAGTTAATGTGTGTTGCCAAGAAGCACGTCATAAGGATGTGACACATGAGCAGTGTTTCCCAGTTGCCATCTTGCAGACATTTCTTATTAGGAGCCAGTAACTTCCACATATGGAATGGTCTCTGTAGTAGCTTGAAAAAGAATTAAGCTAAGCTCCATACCAGATGTTGTTCAGGGTCTTTTTGTCTTGTGAGTACATTTCATAACGAAAATTTACTGACCTGCCTGGTATAGAAGGGTATGTGAGCAGACCCATCAGACTATATCATACCATCAAGGGGAGAACCCAGTGCCTAATTAGCCTAGGTTGTCCCCATCTGCTCTCTAAGACAATCAATGTATCATCCATTTTTTCATTAACCAGATATTACTAGAAAGAACCTTTAGGGTATATACATTAATAGAAATCTAAAACCTGGGTCTACCCTCAGTGATCTGATCAAACTCTAGTCTGGGAAATAAAATCAAACTACAAGAAGGGAGGTACAGAAAAACAGAAGAGGTATCCCAGAAGGCATTTCCCAGGTTAAAAAGTGACAGGGTGGTTCTTCACCTTACCTGCCACTCCATGGGTGCATGTACTACAGCTGGTAGGCTGGATCACCACAGTGGTAACAGTGCTACAGAGAGAAAACATGGTTGAGACATGAGAAGACAAGGATTTGATTCCTAATACTGCCACTTACCAGTTACGTGGCCTGGAGAGTTATTTTATCTCTGACAGCCTCAGTTTCCTCATCTGTAAAGTGGAAGTCGTAATAATAATCTCTGCCAGACTACATCATAGGGATATAATAATGCTCAAAGGAATCTTGGGATATTTTTTGTACTCCTGTAATAGAATGAAATCTCTGTGAGAGGAGAGACCATTGGCTGTCTTGTTGGTGAGCATATCCCCAATATTTTGAACAAGGCTTATTACACATGCTAGGCACTCATAAATATTAGATGCACAAATGAGTACTCTCTGTTAAAGCACTCTGTTATTTTTATATAACTCTTCAAATGTTTGGTAAAGGGATTTCAAGAGCAGTACAGACAGGCTGCATGCATAGACTCTAACTTTGGTTTTCAGACCTCCATGTGTTTTGCCTGAATGAATTTGTACTGGGATCAGTGCACACAGCAGGTCTTTTCAGTATTTAAGTTCTCCTGTAACATGGAGATGTCGTGAGTTCATATTTTAAATATGAAGTGCTGATTTTATATTGAATTTTTCAAGTATTGCTCATTTAACAAAGTATATCTATGTAAATAAAACTTTCTCCATTCTGAAAATGTGTCTCTGCTTAACCTGATATTCTGTTCAAAGAAATATGAAACAAAGAGAAAAGTAGGTAGAAGAAGGCTAATTTAGACAGAGCAATGTTTTGTTTACACACAAACTAATTACAGGTATTAGTTTGTGTGTAACAGCCAGTCAGTAAATAAATATTTACCCAGGGTTTATACTATACAGTGTGTGAAGAATCCAGAGTCCTTAAACTTGGTATGTGTTGAAGAAAGCTGGATTAAAATATTCTCATTTTACAAAACATATAATGCCTAAGTAATTATTTAAAGAAAATTGTTTAAAAAAAAAAAAAAAAAACAGAAAAGAAACAAGTAATGCCACTGCAGCGGCACAGCTGCTATTTCATTTTGCTTATTCCCATTCAGTCTTAGTCCACCAACGTATATATTTCTCATGTAAAATATAGCTTACATGCTACTGCATACTCTTGGCTTCCACTTATCACTAAGTTCCATTTTTTCTACAGTCACATTGATCGTTTTAAAATCTGTGTAATATTCCATGAAATTGGGAGACGTCTGCTTCCAGCCAAGATGGAGTTAGGGGGCCAGGTTAACTTGCCTACCTGAAACAGGCAAAAATAAAACAGACAAAATATATGACATAACAATTTTCATGGTAATGGCCATCAAGTATCAAAAGCCACGGACTCTTGAGCAATTGGAAATCAATGAGGGGAGCTCCACAGTTACCTCAGCTTACTACATAGCAAGTTTCTGGGCCACATTGCAGAGAAAGAGAATACACATGTAGCCCAGTGAACTGCCTGAGTTGAGATTCACGTAAGAGTATAGGAAGACTAAGTTTGCTAGCAGAGTCCCAGAGAAGAGACAGCTGCATGGAGAAAGAATGCAGAGATCTGTGAGGGACCCCCTCTAGTATTCAGCAGCATATTGATTGGTATAGTCACTTGCAGAAGCTGCTTGAAGAGGGGCTAGGGGAAAAACCATTCCAGAGGATTACAGAGAATAATGCTAGTACTCAAAAAGGATTGATAATAGTTCTTGTTCCTACCAGCCATACTGGAAATCCTCATAAAACACAAGAGATTAAGTGAGAGTACACAGAAATGTCTTGAATCAAGTGTGGAGAATAATTAACCGTAGTGATATGGTTTGGATCTATATCCTCACCCAAATCTCATGTTGAATTGTAATCCCTAGTGTTGGAGGTAGGGCCTGGTGGAAGGTGATTGGATCATGGGGGTGGAGTTCTTTTTTTTTTTTTTTTGAGGTAGGGTCTTGCTCTGTTGCCCAGGCTAGAATGCAATGGCACAATCTCGGCTCGCTGCAACCTCTGCCTCCCTGGTCCAGGTGATTCTCGTGCCTCAGCCTCCCAAGTAGCTGGGACTACAGGCTTGTGCCACCATGCACCACTGATTTTGTATTTTTAGTAGAGACAGGGTTTCACCATGTTGGCCAGGCTGGTCTCGAACTCCTGACTTTGGCCTCCCAAAGTATTGGAATTACAGGCATGAGCCACCGCACCTAGCCAAGGGGTGGAGTTATCATGAATGCTTTGACGTCATCCCCCCTTAGTACTGTATAGTGAGTTTTCATAAAATCTGGTTGTTTAAAAGTATGTAGCACCTCCCCTACTGTCTTCTTCCTGCTGCAGTCGTGTAAGAAGCCTGCTCCCACTTTGCCTTCCCACATGAGTAAAAGCTCCCTGAGGCCTCTCCAGAAGCAGATGCTGCCATGTTTCCTGTAGAGACTGTGAAACTGTGAGCCAATTAAGCCTCTTTTCTTTATAAATTACCCAGTCTCAGGTATTTTTTTATAGCAGTATAAGAACAGACTAATACACTTAGGCTAAATGTTGCTCTGGTGCCCACTAACAAATCAAAAAGGAAAGACTAAAAAGGATCAAACTATTTACAAATGTCTTAGTGCATTTTGTGCTGTTAAAGTATCTGTGACTGGGTAATTTATAATGAACAGATATTTATTTCTTACCATTCTAGAGCTGGGAGTCTAAGGTCAAGGGACCTGCATCTTGTGAGGGCCTTCTTGCTGCATCATCCCTTGGTGGAAGTTGGAAGGGCAAGAGCACAAGTGTTGAGAGAGGGGAAAGGAGGCAAACTTATCTTTTACCAGGAAGGGATTCCCATGATAATGACATTCATTGATATATGAGAGCAAAGCCCTCATCACGTAATCACCCCTTAAAGATCCCACATCTCAATACTGTTGCACTGGAGGCTAAATTTTCAAAACATGAACTTTGGGGGACACATTTAAACCATACGATTCTGTCCCTGGTTTCCAAAATTTATGTCTTTTCTCACATGCAAAATGCATTGATTACATCCCAATGGCCCCCAAAGTCTCAATTCACTCCAACATGAACTTAAAAGTCCAAAGTCGCTGGGCGCAGTGGCTCACGCCTGTAATCCCAGTACTTTGGGAGGCCGAGACAGGCGGATCACAAGGTCAAGAGATCAAGACCACTCTGGCCAACATGGTGAAACCCCGTCTCTACTATTAGCTTGGCACGGTGGCGCGCACCTGTAGTCCCAGCTACTCGGGAGGCTGAGGCAGGAGAATTGCTTGAACTCAGGAGCTGGAGACTGCAGTGAGCCGAGATTGCGTCACTGCACTCCAGTCTGGCACCTGGCAACAGAGTGAGACTCTGTCTCAAAAAAAAAAAGTCCAAAGTCTCATCTAAATCAGATATGGGTGAGACTTAAGACATGATTTATCATGAGGTAAGTCCCTCTTGTGAACAGCCTGTGAAATTAAGTTATCTGCTTCCAAAATACAATAGTGGGATGGCCAGAGATAAACATTCCCATTCCAAAATGGAGAAATAGGCAAGAATAAAGGAGTAACTGGTGCAAAGTTAGTCCAAAACTCTATAGAGAAAAAGTATTTTGTAATTGAAAAATAATAACTGTACGTATTCATGAGGTACATAATAATGTTTTGACATATATAATGTATAGTGATCAGATCAGGGTAACTAGCATATTCATCACCTCTGATGTTCATCATTACAACACTAAATCTTAAAGCTGGAGAATAGGCCAGGCGCAGTGGCTCACGCCCATAATCCCAGCACTTTGGTATACCAAGGCAGACGGATCACGAGGTCAGGAGCAAGGTTGGTCTCCAGCCTGGCCAACATGGTGAAACCCCGTCTCTACTAAAAATACAAAAATTAGCTGAGAGTGTTGGCAGACACCTATAATTCCAGCTACTCAGGAGGCTGAGGCAGGAGAATTGCTTGAACCCAGGAAGTGGAGGTTGCAGTGAGCTGAGATCATGCCACTGCACTCCAACCTGGGCAACAGAGTGAGACTCTGTCTCAAAAAAAAAAAAAAAAAAAAAAAAAAAGCTAGAGAATAATCTTCCTTGACTCCGTGCCCCAGGTGGTTGGGTCCCTAAGGCCTTGGGCAGTCTTGGTCAGCCCCTTCCCTATGGCTTTGCCAGCCTCGTCCACCCAGAAGCTCTTACAGACTGGAGTCTGGGTTGTAGTCTTCTGCCAGCATGCTGGTGACTCCACAGTATTGAGATCTTAGGGGTAGCCCCATTCCCACGACTCCACTAGACATTGCCCTAGTTGGGGCTCTCTGTAGTGGCTTCACCCCTGCAACAAGTCTGCCTGGGCCCCCAAGCTGTCTGCGATATCCTTTGAAATCTACG